GTAAAAAAAAATAGTTTAATGTACCAAAATCTGCAATATATAACTTCACAAAGTCTAAAATATATATATTTTAGCTTAGAACATTGTTTTCATTTATAATTCCAACATTTCATGGGCTAGTACTCAACCGACAAAACTTAAAAACATTTTCTCTTCAAAAGCATGCTCGTTGACTTATCTATAGGAAAAACAAATATGAACACGCAGAACCATTAATGAAAGACATGCAAATGATGAATATGAAATCAATATTTACATGCACTTAATTTAAATACAATAACAGCTTGATTGTGAAAAACCTTAGTCATTAATTTATAAAAAATGTGAACGAAACGTGTTCACTGAAATAAACCAATGGAATACTTATATAATTTATATTAGATCGCTAAGAATTAATATAAAATAATTAACAAATTAGACTAAACTCGGGAACGCTTTTCAAAAAGCAAAAATTTTAAATATGGTGAAGTCGTTCAAATACTTTAAGTTTGTAACTAAAAAAATTTTTTAACTAGATAAATAATTATTGTAAAATTGAACTAAACTGCAGTAGAATTAAAACCTCAAATTTCTGTTTACTTTTTACTTTACATTTTACTTACCTCGAATTATTTTTTACTTTTTACTTTCGTCTTCAATTTTTAATGTCTCATTTTTTATATTAAACAGAGGTTTAATGTCTCCTAATCTTTATATTCAACAGAGTCTTTTGACTATCTTTAAATTCATAGCTTGCTTTTTATTTTTCTTAATTTAATGTTTATGAAGGCTTTTATTCTTTATATTTTTTATATGTCGGGGCAGTATAATGTTTTTTTTTTTTTTTTTTTTTACAGTTTCTAAGTTGCAAAGGCCAAATAGAGGTTCTGTAAAGATTAGTGGTGGTATAAGTCAACCGTATCTTCTTTGAGCCCCTGCCAATTTAAGAAGATAAAAACAGTAAGATAAAAAAAAGAATAATTGTGTTAAATAGTGAAAAAGTCGAAAAACTAAATTGTAATAACACAATATTTTTAAATTACGTACTTATATACTAAAAAGTTTTAACCAATACAACAATACTACAATAAGCATATCAACTTTTTATCTAACTAACTTTTATCCAGGGGTGTGGAGTCGTAAAAAAAATAGTAACGACTCCGACTCCAGTAGTTGGAATTTTTTGAGTTCAACTCCGACTCCAGTTGTTAAAGTTTTCTGAGTGCAACTCCAACTCCGACTACAACTCCAAAGCAAAACTTTTGAAAATCTCTTTGAATTCTTTAAAAAGTATTACGCAATATGTTAAAAAGTTTTTTTTTGACAAATTTATGAAACGTTCTTTGAGGTTTAGTATGAGCATAAGGTTGATTGAATGTTTTATACATGCACGTGCAATACCGAGAAGTTTTAATATAGGAGTCGGATTCGCGATTTTGTTTAGCAACTCCGACTGAAAATGTAGTAACTCCGCAACTCCGACTCCACAGCCCTGCTTTTATCCGAAATTGCAACTTCGAAATATCCCATATTGCAACCTTGAAATATTCTGTATTGCAACTTCGAAATATCTTATATTATTAACAAAAGATTATCATTATAAATCTTTTAGTAAATATATGTTAAGATAAAAGGAAATTTCACTAGAAACTGTGGCAGTTTCTTAAAAAATACAAGAATTACTGCAGTAATACTACAGAATACCTTAAACTCTAAAAACTAATTATAAAATTTAAAAATCATCAAATTTAAAAATCATCTGAATTGTCGGTCTCATTTTTCACTAGCTAAAACAAAGAAGTTTTAAGCAAAGATTTCATCTGATTTTTCTGTCTAGCATTCAAGCAAGTACTTTTAATGCTTTTTATTTAGTTTTAAATTATTCAATTTTTTGTAATGATTTATGTCATTATCTAAATATTAATTTTTAGTTTTGATTCCTCTATTAACTTTCTAGGTTGTTGTTCTTTGTTTTCTAGGTTGCTGTTGTTTGTTTTCTAGACTTTTTTTTTCTAGGTCATTTTTTTATATTGTTGTTGTTTGTTTTCTTGCTGATAAAATATTTGCTTCAAGCAAATATTTTATCAGAAAAAAACAATTTTTGCTGATAAAGTATCGTTTTGTTTTTTAATTCTAAAAAGGTTAGGTTTTAACAAATCTGAAAAGGTTAGGTTTTAGGAAGCATTTTTCTATAAAACATTTTAAAGCTGCAATGTTATCAATAAAATGTAGTGAAACCATTTGACCAAGTAGATACTTCCATTCGGAGCGTCTTTTTAGCATGAATTTGTAGTGAAAGTTTAAGATCATTTTCCAACTTCTAGTGTCTCAACCATTTCTTGAACATTGGGTTCTTCAAGCAAAATTCTATAAAAAGTATAATTTAAAATTATTATATATTTTTTGTTTTAGGTGCCCCAAGAAGACATAACGGTCTTGTCACAACACCGTAGAAGAGCATTTAACTAGGTTTAGTTCGTTTAATATGCCAAGAGCATTGAGCACTAGATCTCTAGCTTCTAAAGCAAACGCTCCGTTGGACCACGTCACGTCTAACCACGACATAACGTCTGCTCAATTTTAATGTTGACACAATAACTAAAGAACAATATTTTTAGTCCTTATAAAAATGTGTTTAATTTTTTTTTAAACTTTTACCACAAATACCCTGATTAAGTGTGTTAAGCAAGGTTCTCCTTCAACCGAAGTAAACGATAAAGAGATGCAATATATCCATTAAGTCGCAGTTGTTACGTGATTGCATTTTTATACCCCGATTCGAAATGGTAGACTCGGCGAATTACATTTAAAAAGGATTTACACTTACTCTGCGCATTCCTATACCCCGATTCAACATGACTGCCGCATTGTATTTTTTTTTCGTTTGATGTCAGAGCGACTTAATGGATAAGGTAAAACAAAATTAAAAAAACAAACAAAAACAACAACAACAAAAAAATTTATTTACGTTTCAAGTCAAATATTATTATTAACAATTTGCATCGTACATGATATATAATATATTTATATAGTCGTCATTTGCGGTAGAAATGATACAAAATAAAAAAAAAATCATAATGTATAAAAAGATCGTACTCATTTAGGAAAAATTGTATAGAAAAGGATTCGTAAAACAACAAAAAACAGCGTAACTTTTTTAAAAAAAAGATTAGCAAATAGCTTAAGATTTTTTTGATAAAAAGTTTTTAAAATCATGACAAAGTCAAAATTTTACCATAATCGCAGTTACGCCTTAGTTGCGCAACATTATGTTAATTTTAAAAGGTTATTGAATAGATTATAATAATCATAATTATAGTGTATTGTACATATTACATATTGCGTATTTATACTAATATTGCATATTTATACTAATATTATACACCTCTAACTTAACTTTATATTAACACTCTATGAGTTTTTAAATTTAGAAGAAATATTTGTTTAAAAAATCTCTCATACATTTGGGTAAATCTACTAACATGCGCATGTTGGTAATGAAAAATTCTTGTGTTTATGCATTTAGTAATTGCAAAATTGTTTTGCATTATTTTTGTAGTATATTTTTTATAGGATTTCAATAATCGTAGAGTAAACTAATTGCTTCAGCAGCGCGAGATCGAACCAACGGAGATGGATCTTTTATAAGTACTACTAATGCTGAGCGTAAAAAATAAAAGATAATTTATTATTATATATTATCTATTATTACATTTTTTTTAAATATTCATTATAATTAAAAAAAAAAAATTCCAATTTTATATACGCTATATTTTATATTTATATTTTCAACGATGAGATTTTGTATATCTTAGATATATTTTAGATGAAGATAATCCTCATTTTGTGGTGGTATGAAACAACCAAATTAAAAAGGACATTTTTAACATAAAATATTTTGTTATGTTAACAATTGAACATAATGTAACTTTGAGTGAAAATAAAATTGAATTCCTCCTCCTCCCGAGAAAATTTGCCAAAATATTTCACACAAAAAATTGCACAGTTTTTTATTCTTTCCCTCATTGTTTTAAACCATAATTACATAATGTTAAATAATTATTGTTACACGATTACATAATGTTAAACAATAATTAATACACGAATACATGTTAGACAACGATTTCAACAAGATTACATGTTAAACAATGATTACTGCACGATTACATAATTCTAAATAACAATTAATAAACAACTGCATGATGTTAAACAATGATTACTACACAACTGCATAAGGTTTAGTAACCGACCGAAACAGAAAAAAAGCCGAAACCGAAATAAACCAAAATTTTGGTACTCAAATTTGGTACCGAAACCCGAACCGACATTTCGGCAAATACTTTATCGAAGCCGATACCTTTATTTTGGCTGGTCAAAATTTATCTTATTAGAAAAATTTATTTAAAAATGCAATTTTGCATTTGTTGTTTTTTTATACTCGTATTATGTTAGAATTAATTACACGTATCCCAAATTAAGATTTAATACATAAGTTGGCGAAGTTAATAGCGAAATTTAACAGTTGTCTGATTTTCTCTGCAAAACAAAATTTTTTCGATGTATTTTGTGAAAATTCTCAATATTTTTGTTAAAATTCGTATAATATTTTGTGAAAATTCTAAAAAATAACTGTTTTTCTAAATAAGATCGGTTTTCAGTATGGTTTTCAACCGAAATTTTGCTTTTTACCGAATTAAGAAAAAGTACCGAAACCGAAATTTCGGTATTAGTTCAAATTGAAATTTTGGCCGAAACCGATACCAAAACAGAATTTCGGTCGATCACTAATAATGTTAAACAATGATTACTGCACAACTACATAATGTTAGACAACGATTACTGCACGATGTTAGACCATGACTACTTACTTACTATATGATTACGTAATAGTATAAAACAACTTTAATTTGTCTTTAAAAAAATTTAAAAACTAACACTTTTAAAACAAAATAAATAAAAAAATATATTGAATGATAAAAACAATACCACTACATATATGTTCTATGGAGATTGTTTCTCTTTGATTTTTCTTTAGATTCCCTAACAAGAAGCCTATAAAAAGTGCAGCATTAGCTCGAATCTCTGGCCAGTTGCTTTTAAAAAAACTAACACAACCCATTACATAAAAGTTCATTTTATCAACATGGTCAGCAATCTAATGACAAAAATAAAAACAAGTAAAAATCTCTATTATTTAGTATAACTCAAAAGTGTAGAATTTGCTGTTTACTTACAATGAGTCGTGATAAGTCATTAATAAACTCGCCATAGTGAAGGTTACCATCTTCAATAAGGTGTTTTTGAAACATTTCATTAATTGAAACTGAATTTAATTTCGCTCCAATTTTACGCAAGGCTGCTTTGCTTGCCTAGTATATTATGATATAAAATAAATATAATATGAAAATAAAATCCTTAAAAAAAATATATAACATGAATTGTTAAACTTTTTATTGGAGGTTTAATTATGAATTTTTTAAATAAAGATTTAAAAGAATTTTCAAAACAACTTTATTGTAATTCAATTAATTAAAAAATAAAAAAAAACTGAGTGAATATTTTTACTTTAGTAACTTCATCCTCTTCATGCAAATGAAGAAGTAAACTGATAAAATTTGTGTGGATCTGTTCAAGAAATGCACTCTCTGACGGACCTTTGCCAAAACGAGCTAAATTTCCAAACAATGATATTGCTGCTGCTCTAACTGCGCTAATCTCCTTTGTAAATATTGAAAGTATTATAAATAAACTCATACATAGACAAAATTAAAAAAAAAAAGTATATATGTTTTAAAAAAAAAAATTACTTTTTCAAAGCACGGTCTTATTCTTAAGCAAATGTTTATTAAAATTTGTCGCACAGAAGATTCATCAAGAAGAGAAAGAATCTTCGATAGCCCAGACATTGCTTCTAATGTAATACTCATTTGAGGATCTTCTTTGTCATCCATACCAGCCATCATTGCAGAGAGTATAGTTGTGGAGTAGGTTTGCAATTTCTGTCCACCAACACTTGCTACATTACCTAAACCACGTATGCATAGCTTTCTCACAACATGTGATGGATCAACAAGTTTAGATAGTAAACTATTCATTAGAAGTTCAACTAACTGCATATCCCCGCAACAACTTTCATTAATCAACTAAATAAAAAAGAAAACATACCAAGAATAGACAGAAAATATAACAAGAATAAATTAAAATCAATACAAATCAAATTAACAAACCTCAGAAAAAATAGCAGCGGGAACAACTCTTTGGTAATCATACAAACTTGAAAGAGACGGTAGCAACGCAGAAACTAAGTCATTTACACAAGATGAATGGTACTTGCAAATTCCACTAAAAGTAACTATTATATAAAGCCCTGGCGCTATTCCTTTTTTTATGACGATAAAAAAAAAATTAACAAAAAGACTTTTAGAGTTTAAGTACTCAATCTTATTAATCAAAATTATAAAAGATCGTCCATAAATAACACAACGCAAAATATATTTTAAAAACAGAAGTAGGATATACTAGGCTCTTTAACGCGGCGATTTTCATTAAACTTAATGAGCTATTTTGATTTTTTATTTAAATTAAAACTCTGCGAGAGAAAGCTTTTGATCTTTTTTGGTTTGTTTACTGTGAAAGTTTGCGTTACGTAATTTATAGACGATCCTTAAATTATAGAATAAGGCATTATAGTAAAAATTAATTGTTTAAAAGATGTTTATATAAAAAGCAACTCTTTATTGCATATCTACAAAAGGAATTTACATAAAAAAACAACTTTTATAATTTATAACACATGAGGATATTTTTATGCAACGCTATACCCATTACAACAAATTAAAATTGAGGTGAGAAAAAGAATAATTAGGAAAGCAATCAATATGTTGCAATGACAAAAATAAAATAGAATAAAGCAATGACAGTTTAAGTAGTAAAAAACATTTGTGTATAAAAAAAACAATTTTATTGAAGACAACAAAAAATTTTTTTAAAAATATTTACATTGCAACAACTTGAATTCCGTCTGTAAATGTTTCTACATTTTCAAACTTCTCCCATGCATTTTGCTCATCCATGTGCTGTTTTAATAAAACACATTTACTTCGTTCAATAAATTCTTTTAAGCATTCTATTGAACAACTAAAAAAGATAAAAATAAATTGTGTAGGATAATTGAAGATTTCTAAAGTTAAATTGCATTTTGCAATACAACTTGAAAATGCTTGCAATACAATGTGCAACATTTTAAAAACGTGCAATATTTTAAAACTTTTATTTAAAACATTATTTTTGAAAAATAAAATTAAAATTTCTTTGCATTAACTCTACATCACCAATCTAGTGAATTAAAATCAACCTAGTAAACCATCAACAATCTAGTTAAATTATTTATGAATACTAATATTAAGAAAGTCCGATCACCAATCCTTGGGTTATTGTTATTATTTCCATTTAGATGTATTAGTGTCATTTACAATTTTATGTGTCTTTTTACCAAAGAACTATTTTAATACAAACTCTACTTAAACTTAAATTTATAATGTTTCAGCAACAATTTTGAAAGAGTAAAAAATTTTAGAAAAATCTAGAAATTCTTATTTGTAGCCTACATAAACAGATTATTATTACAAAGATATGCTTTAATGTTTGAATTTAAACAAAAGTTAATTGAAGTGAAGGGAGCAAATTCAAAAGAACTGATGTTTAAGGAAAAAACTTGGCAAATAAGAAAATGTGGAAAACTTAGGAACAATTAATAAACAAGAATAAGACTTAATTAAATGACGAGTATTAGATGGTACTTGACACACTTTATCTTGTATTAAAAAGAGTGGCCATCATCAAAAGACCTGCTCTAGATATGGCAACAGTATTCCATACCAGGATAGATTTGTAAAGATAAAAAATAGAATCCAAGTAAGAAAGTGGCAAGCACGATAAAGAGATGCAACTTTAGCAGATGCTAATTTTGCAATATATTTGATATACGGTTTCTAAGAAAATGCCACCTTAGATGTGAGAGGAGACTATTAATGTAAACTAAAAAAGTATAAGGCCAGGGATAAAACCTTGAAGAACACCTGAAGATACAAGAAGTGAAAAAGAGTGTTTCATTGGATCAACCTGTTTATCTGTTATATCAGGTAGGATGTGATTAAAGGAGATTAGAGATTATCAAGAGATGAAATTGATGAAAAGTTCTAACCAAAGAATTTAGCTTTGTTTTTAGGTGATGTAACAAAATCTGAACCATGCAAGAGAGGTGGAATAACAGATTTGCACTTATTATAAACACTGTTATCCCAAAGTCTCAGGAGCCTAATTTTTGCGATCAAATTAAGATTTTGTGACCTAAGAATAGCATGCATTGGCGTTAAACAAAACCTTTTTACAATGGTTTCTACTAATAGTAAACAGACGTGGGTTTTCTGAAGAACTGTTTAGGAGATAGATATGGTAGTAATGGTTACAATTGGAGATTGCAGGAGCACAATAAGAGAAAAACCATGGAGAAAAGTAAGGCTTGACTTGGAATTATTGAGTGGGAATAAAAGATTCAATGCCAACCTGAACTGAAAAGTTACACAAGAAACACATTTGTCAGCAAAAAGACCAAAAATTTTTACAGACTATCCTAAAGAAAAATTATAAAAAATTAAGAGGTGATACAATGATAGGGGGATTCTTATGATAAAGAATGAAATAATAGTTTTTGAGAGATCAAACTATAATCAGAAGCACCTAAAGATGAATGTGGAAAAAACTGAGTAGGATCAGAAACAAGAGATAAGTTGAGGAGAGAAGGTAAATGATTTGGATTGTCTGGAAAACGAGTTGGAAAGTTGACTATTAGTATTAGAGATTGAGAAAAGCAAAGTTGTGGGCTATAACACCTACAGAGTCAATGACACTAGAGCAAAGCTATTCAGCATAATAAGTATTAAAGTTACCAACAACAATGATAATGGCTGAAGGATAAAGAAAAAGAGCTCGGTCAATTTAATCAGAAATAACACTTTCAACTTAAGAGTGCAGTCTTGAGATGAAAGAGAGCGATATAGAATAAAGAGAAAGGTGATAAAGTGAAGTGGTACTAAACAAAAGCACACAAAAAAATAGTCTGTGGATTTAACCTAGTTTCCTGACAAATGGGTAAATTCTTACAAATGCAAATGTCATGCCCAAGTATGTGACTACTAGAGTCTTTATGAATTAAAGGAAGATAACCACCAACACTAAAAGAACAAGATGATATAGTTGAACTCAAATTAATCTCACAAAAAACAAGTAGGTCAGGCAAACTTTAAAAGAGATAAGACTCAACAAAAAAAAGTTACTTCAAAGACCACGGAAATGAGTGAATGATTATTTGGTGATGATTTTTTGTGTTTTATAGTTTTTGCTACTTTATTCATTTCTTAAATTGGTTAAAGAACTTGACTCAAATTACTATATATACTTTGAATCACAAAAAGTTCTTAGTACACTATTTAATAGTCCAAGCAATTCCCTCATTACAATTAATAAACTCTAAGCCGTAATAAAGAGCTCCAAATATGGCCTCAACAATCCACATTGAAAGTATGAACCATGGTTAGTACTCTGATACTTTACAGCAATTGATGGAATGGAAGCCCCTCTGCCTCTCTGAGAGCTACCACAGAGTTCAGGAAACCTGACTACCAGCCAGCCTCAGAACCATAAAACTGAGTTTTAGAGTTGTATCCTCATTAGAAGATAATAAACAAGTTGCCTAACCATAAAAATAGAGACATAACCAAAACCTATGCATAATGTCCTTAACTGGAAACAATGTATTATAAATACATCTATACCAGCTGAACAGATGAAAAAGGGGTGTAAAACTGGTCAACAGATAAATTTTTTTACCTCTTATGTCTTTGCCTAGGAGGTTTTCTACAAGACAGGTAAATATATTTAACATCTGCCCAAGAATATTTGAGACACTAACTCTAGCTATTACTCAACTAAAACCCAGCAGGGGGTTTGTTAAGTTAGAGTTGCATCGCCTACGCTTTGCCTAAAAAACTGTATCCTACTAGGCAGCAGGACATTAAGCAGGTTGTACTGGGTTAAATGTTTCAAGTAACAGGATAACCTGACTTGACATTTAACTTACAAGTAATGTTTTTACAAGAAATAACATAATATAGTATTTTTATAGCACTCCTTATACTATGTTTTGGTTTAACATTCACTTGAAGTGCTTATTTTAAGTTAATTTATATTAACATATGACCATTAATTTATATTAACATATTAAAATATCAACTAAAACATCTTAACAAGTAAAGTTAACTTATAACTAATAATACATAAATGTTAATAATTAAAATCAATTAATTAATAATAAAATAATTAATATAAATGGTGTGAATATTATTATGCATAAAAAAATTGTAAAACCTCATTGGAGAAGGCAAATTTTTTTTCTTCTGTCCTTTTAAATCAGATAAGACATCCACAGTCGATCCTAACCTTATTAATATGGCTGACAACAACTTTGGAAACATGTCAGTAACTAATTTTTCTGTTTCTGGAACTTTAAAAATTTCTGTAAGCGCTGATGATATCTAAAAAAAAAAAATTAAAAAAATTTGTAAATAATAATTGAAGTATAGTTGTGGTAATTGTCATATAAAATGAACTAAACTGGTACTGTAGTAAACACTAAGTAACTGTCACCTAGTAAACGTCACCTGTAGAAAACGCTACATAACTATTTCCTAGATTAATAAATAATAGTTAAAAAGAAAATATAAAAAGAACTGGAAAGAAAGGCTAAAAAAAAACTACAAAAATTAAAAAAAAAAAAGTTTTGTGATTATAGATTTAAAAAAATTTTTTAATTACAATTTCCATAAGAAATTGTAATTATAAACTTGAAATATTATAATTACAATTTCCATCGTAAAGTAAATATAATAATTAATTATACTAAAAAGTTGTTTTTTCTAAAAAAATTGTTTTAAAAATTATTGCCAGTTATATTATGATGTTATCAGTTATATTATGATGTCATCAGTTATATTAGGAAGTCATCAGTTATATTATGAAGCCATCAGTTTTATATTATGATGTCATCAGTTATAGCAAACATGTTGATAATAGGGTAAGGAATTAAAAAAATTCCTCTGTGGTTTCTTTTGATGATTTTTGTTAATATCACGTCAGATTTAGTTCTCTCACGCCAGGTATAGTTAGGATCAAGATGTGGTATATGTTATGCTGTAGTGGTTCAGAGTTTGATTCCCAATATGTCTCCAGTAGAACTGTGCTCAGTTTTTTGGTGCAGCAGCCATTTTCATCAAGGTTTGTGCTTTGGAGTTAAAAGTTAAGAGAGAGAGAGAGTTGCAACCACATAAAACAAAAAAACAAAACAAACAACAACAACAACAAAAAGTATCCTTTTCTGTAGTGGCCTCTTTGACATTGGGGAGGTAAATAACAGTAAAAAAAATAATCATTGAGATCACTTTGGTAAAATACATAGTACATGCTAGTATCCTAGTACATTAGTTCATTAGTTAGTATATTGATAGGTACAGTAAATCCTACTGCTACTACATATGAATTATTTTTTTTGAGCAAAGGCTAAAAAAAGTAAACATAAAATATAATCCTCTACTGGGTTTAAGGTTGAGTAACAACTGAAGATGTTGTCTCAGTAAAAACACTTATCTAAGACAGATGTATCTGGCTAATTTCAGATGTATCTGATGTCTAATTGAAAGCATGAGGGTAAAAATTCAGTGGTTCTGATGCCAGCTGAGAGTAAGATTTCCTAAACTCTATTGTCAGAAAAGCTAATTCTTTAAATAGCTGTAAAACATCAAGGTATTAATGTCAAGTTGTGAAAGAATGTGTTGCAAAAGGA